GAAAACCAGGCTGCACCATGGGGGGAAAAAGGCCTAGCTGTGGGTTGTGGAGGGGAACTCTCAGAAAGCAGTGTGGCAAGGACCCTATCTTGGAAGTGGGGGGCCAGGAGGTGCGCTTCTTGCTATTTCCACGCCTGGCAGTGCCTCTGTGGGGAAAGGGTGGGGTACAGCAGGGAGATAGCTGCACCCAGGCAGGTGTGGGGTAGGAGAGGGGTGCCCAGGCCCCCAAGCCAGAAGTCATCCCCACTTTCTTCCTCTTTTCTCCTTGCACCCTAGCTAGTGTTGTCAGGCAAAATACAGGGTGCTCAGTTAAATTTAAATTTCAGGTAAATAACAGGTACTTTGTTAGTAAAAGTACATCCCAGATGGCCCACTTAGCATCCGCCCAGTCAGCCTCGCTCTACCACCCAATGCTGGGCTAGGTGGGCCTGCTAACTGGAAGTCCCCTCACAAACCACCTTCCCTCTCCCCCTCCCTTCTGGCTTATCTTACCCACCACCCCCCTCCCAAACTTCACACACAAAAGTCAAAACGTATTGCTCCTGTCACCTGTCCTTCCCAATGGGTGCCTTGCTGCATTTTCCCCTCCATCCTTCTGGTCCAGGGCCTTTGAAGCATCTCAGCTCCTTTAATTGTCCAAACAGCAGGAACTATCATCAGTCTCATCATTCAGGTGGATTCACTGAGGCTCTGAGAAAGGAGGAACGAAGCCTTGCAGGCCAGGAACTCCTCAAGGCTGTCAAACCACAAAGTCTGAATGATTAAGGCTATAATGAAATCAGGAAATGGGGTGGGAATTTGGAGGGGCCAGGGGAGGAAAATAAGAGCAGCATTGGGGGGCCTGAGAATCCTAGCAGGCACCCCACCCCAGTTTCAGAAGTTTAATCTCAATTCTGGAGAATAAGCAGGTGTGTTTGTACTCTCCCTCCTCTTCTAAAGAAAGGGTGTCGCAATCACAGCTGGCAGAGGGAAGGTTTGTTCTGTTTCTCTGTGACTCCCCCACTCTGGACACTGGGGCACAGCCGGGAAAAGGGCAAGAGTGTGGTTTACAGGAACTCAGAACCAGTTCCCCGTTAACCCCTTCAGTGGGGTTTTGGAAACCAGCCCTCCAGGAATCAAGATCCCCAACCCACTATGCTCAGAAGGGACTTCACACACCCCTTACCCCAGATGCCCAGCCTTGCTGGGAATCAGAGAGATGCACGTTAAAATGATACTGAGGCAAAAAGTCAAAACTTTGCCAACTTGATCTCATGGGGGGGGTGGAGCAGTGGGGAAATTGACAGTTTCCTGCAGGGCCAGCATGTAAATCAATACAATTATAGAGGGGAATTCAGCTCTATCTAGTAAGATTACCAATGCAAGCAGACTTTGATCTGGGTTATCTCCTTTCCTTACAAAACAACCCTGTGAAGTGGGCAATGTGATAACCTCTTTTTACATGGGGAAACTGAGGCTCAGAGTGGTTCTCAGGAGCTTGATACCACTAATAATAAGTGTCAGAGCTGGAAAGTGACACAGGCTCATAACTTACTGGCAAGAGTAGGGTTTTTAACCACGGAAATCTGTCCATCAGTTGGAGGCCGGTGACTTTCACACAATGTGAAAGGAGGCAGTCCTTTTAAGAACAAGGAAATTCTCTGTGCACTGGTAATCAACAGTCTTATTGCCTATAAAGAAGCCAGGTGTGACTCCAGGGGACCAGGAAGAATAGTATGTAGAGCATGCCAATATTTGTTCTTACAGATTGTGAACATTTATAAACACAAATGAGATCTCTGGGAAAAAATCATGATCCTTCATTACATGGTAACAGGCCCAGGAGGAAAATTATCTTTTCCCTATATTTACTTGTACCTTTTAGATGTTAAATCATATGAATATATTACCAATTTACACTAAAAATTAGATATAATTTTTAATAATAATATCCTAAGAGGATGCTGATGTACGACAAATACAAAAGCTAGCATTGAGGAACTCCCTCAAAGATGACTTTTTAAATTATCATAGCTATTCAGGCATCCTGACAAGGGTAGGTGAAGGGAGCTCCAGGCTCCTGTTGCCTTAGAAAACATACTCACCTGAACAGTGAACTCCTGCATATACTTCAAAGCCCAGCTGAAATGGCCCCTCCTCCAAGCAGCCTTCTCTGGCCCTCCAAGAAACAGAGTACTTCTCCACTTGAGATAACACTCCAGAAGGCTAGGAGTGTCTGTGCTAGACTCTGTCTTCACCCCTACCCCATCATGGAAGACTGAAAGTGGGAATCTAGCTACCAGCATGGAGACAGATTTGTAGGAAGGGTTTGGTTAATAAATGCATGGACAAAACTGGAATGGGCCAGGCCCAGATATCTGAGGGGGGTGGTCTCTGGCCCTCAGTGTTCCTCCACTACAAAGCAGCTATAACAGGGAAAAGGTCTCTGCTCACCCACTGGCCTTGCCCCTGAGGAAGGCCAGGGCAGGGGGCAATTGTATTCATGTTGGAGGAGGACATGTCCTCAGGTTATTTACCCCAGAACATGCTGGCCCAGGGAATTAAAAAACTTAGGAAACAGTATTGAGAAATCTGGGGCAGCCCCAGGGAGGGAAGAGGCCACGGGGTACAGAGGGCTGGGCTGAGTTGGGGAAAGGCGGGAGCCAGATAAAAGGAGGCTTCCAGCAGCCTCTGCTCACTCCTCCCCGTCCTCTCCCTCCATCCCTCCATCCCTCCGTCCCTCCACTGTTCCTGTACCATGGGGCCTGCTTCAGGTCCCAGCCTGCTGCTGCTACTGCTGACCAGTCTCCCCTTGGCCCTGGGGGACAGCATGTGAGTAGTCATGATGCCACCCCAAACAAAGCAATTTCTGAGGTGGGAGTGGGCATTCAAGGGTTCAGGTCCTTGTAGAATTCAGGGTGCACTTGTGTCTGTGGAGGAGGAATTATTGGGTTGAAGTGTTAATAAACGAGGGCTGCCTGTGACTTTGAGAGTTTATTCGTTGGGTGTTTGTGGAATTCAGGCATTGTGTAGTATGGGGGGTGTTTATAAAACTGGGGGCCTGTAGGTCTAAGGTACATGCGGTGTTTGGTGAGTCTGTGGATGGGATAGTTTGGACTTCACAGGATTTGGGAGTTTACAGTTTCAAGATTTATGATTTTCAGTGTTTGAAGAGATGTGGTGTGGGTTTATGTTGGCTGGGGGGAGAAAGGGGATTTAGTTGTATTTATAGGCCCAGGGTGATAGAAGTTTAAGTAAAGGCTTGGGGTGTTCAAGGATTTGAGGTTTAAAGGTTTGGTGCATGTGAGTATGGTTATGTATAGTTTGGGGTGCCTGAGGGTCTGGGTGTTTAGAGACTTGGAATGTTTAAAGATTTAGGGATTAGGGCTTCAGGACTAAGTGTGTGGGTTCCCCAAGTGTAGGTTTGGAAGTCTAGAGAATTGGAGGACTTGCTGGTTCTGGTTTTGAGGTTCAGGGGTTGATGGGACCTGCAGCCCCTGAGCCTTTGCCGGTCACTGGGTCCCCTCCAGGACCAGGGACTGGGGAGGCCCTGGGGAGGGCTGAAATGTCGGCTCCCTGGGATGACCCCATGTATTCCTCTGGCAGGTTCTCCATCATCACCCCCAACATCCTGCGGCTGGAGAACGAGGAGACAGTGGTGCTGGAGGCCCACGATAGCGCAAGTGACGTCCCTGTCAAGGTTATGGTATACGACTTCCCGGGCAAGAAGCAGGTGCTGTCCAGCAAGGAAACCGTGCTGAACAAAGCCAACAGCTACCTGAGCACCGTCACCATCAAGGTGGGTGCACACTGGGGCCCAGCCCTGTCCACGCCCCACCCCTCTATGGATCTTTTCCCCACTCCATCCCTTCCCCTTTCCTCAGCCCTTCCCTATATATATATATTTTTTAATCCAACAAGAATACGCTTTCACTGATTCTAGAGAGAGAGGAAAGGAGAAGGAGGGAGGGAGATGGAGAGAGAGAGAAACATCGACGTGAGAAACATTAATATGTTGCCTCCGGTACACACCCCAGCCAGGGGATTGAACCCAAAACCTGAGTATGTGCCCTGACCGGGAATTAAACCCGGTGACCTTTCTGTGTACAAGATGACGCTCCAACCGACTGAGCCACAGTGGCCGGGACAGCCCTTCCCCTTTTGAGTCTCCTCCCTATTTGGTCCCCTCCTTTTATTAGCCACGCCCACTCAGAGCCCCGCCCCTGCTCTGAGCTCCTTCCCTTCCAAGCCCTCCGGACTACCTCTGTGCCCCCTCCTTCCTGAGCCCTTTCCCCCCAAGCCCTCTCTACCTCCAGAACCCCTCTCCTCTCTGAGTCTCCTCCTCTTTGTGAGACCCCTTCCACTATTGAGCCCTCCATCCTCTGAGCCCCTCTCTGATCCCCCTCTCCATTTCTCTCTCTGGTCCCTAGCCCCTCTCTTGCCCTTGCCCTTTCTCTGAGCACCCCTCCTTCCCCAAACCTGGGCAAACTAGAGAGACCAGGAGTGATGGGCAGCCTCTGTTCTGAGGAGGGGCAGATGTGGACCCAGCTGAAAGCCTAGTGGCTGGACAGTGGGCAAGGGGCCCTGGAGCAGACCCCTCCTGATGCCCTGTTCCATGCCTAGATCCCGGCCAGCAAGGAGCTAAAATCACAGAAGGGGAACAAGTTTGTGACTATCCAGGCAGAATTTGATAAAACTGTGGTGGAGAAGGTGGTGCTAATCAGCCTTCAGAGCGGGTATCTCTTCATTCAGACGGACAAGACCATCTACACCCCAGGCTCCACAGGTAAGGGGCTGGTGGGTGGCTCAGAGGGCCGGCTGGGTCCTTGGGAGGGGCAGGGCCTCACTGAGCTGTTCCTTTCTCTCCCATCACCTCTCAGTCCTCTATCGGATCTTCACTGTCGACCACAATCTGCTGCCCGTGGGCCGGACGGTTATCGTCAGCATTGAGGTATCAGCCAGCCAGGCTCCAGACACACTTGGGGCAGAGACTCAAGGAGAGGCAAAGAGAGACCCTGAGACAGAGAAAGAGATATATAGAGGCACAAACTCAGAGGCCTAGAGATGGACGGGGACCCAGGGAGACGGCATGGAACAATGATTGCACCTGTGGGTTCTGGCTCCAGATAAACCCCAGGTCCCTGTGACTCTGGCCAGGTCACTCACCTTCCTGAGCTTAAGTTTCTCACTTGAAGGTTGGGATAATGACACAATTCTATGTAATAGTCTGTTTCATCTACTGTAGCCAGGAGGTGCCTGTGAGAACCTGAGTCAGGTCCAGCCCCTCTGCCCATAGGCCTACAGATAAAAACTCAAGTCCTCCCTGTGTCCTACAAGGCCCAGAATGACCTCCCTTGTCCCCTCCCTGCCCTCACCTACTCCCTCTCTCCCCCTCCCTCACCCTGCTCCAACCACAACAGTCTCCTGGCTGTTACTCTGACACATGAGGCACAGTCCTGCCCCAGGGTCTTTGCACTGGTTATTCCTTCTACCCAGAAAACTCTCTTCTCCCAAATAGCCATACCACTTGCCCCTTATCTTCTTTGAGACTTTGCTCAAAAGTCACCAATGTCCCAATTTTACAGTGAGGCCTTTCTGAGCTCCCTGTAAAACTGCAACCCCTCCCATTCACACATGCACTCCACTCTTCTCTCTTGCTGCCATCCTTTTGGCATCACGTAATTTGGATTTATTTTATTAATTGCCTCTCCACCAACCTCTGTGTAACCTAAATTCCCTACCGGAAGGAGTTTTTATCTGTTTGCTCAGGGCCTTATTTCCTGCATTCAACAAAGTGCTTGGCATATAATGGGGCTTAATAAACACTGACTGGAAGAAAGGAGGCAGAGAGGGAGAAAGGAAAAAGCGAAATGTCACCTTTGCCAAGAGGAGCTCATTATCCACAAGTTACCCTGGTTTCCAAGAGGAGCCAGAAAACCAGATTTTTATGTGATGCCTCCTGATGTTTAACTGTTGGCAAGAAATGAAGTAATATGTGTACACAAAACTGCTATTCTTGTAGGACAGTAAGTTGAACAGAGGCAATTAAGTATGGCTTAGCACAAATTAAATGCTTAGCCCAGGGTCTTGCACAAAAGTAGGTAATAAATTCTAGTGATTCTTAATATTCGGGGGATACTCATAATAATGAGCTCCTGCTACATAAACCATGTCCCAAGCCAGTGATGTAGGGGCTGTATTTATTTTCTGTTTTCAGATGTGCACATTGAGCACAAAGAAGTTAAGTAACTTGCCCAAGGTCACACAGCTTGTAGGTGGCACAGTGGGATTTGAACCCAGGCTGACCAACTCAGGTCCCTGTTCTTGACTGCTGCTTCTGTAGATATGACCCAGAGAGACTGTCAGGGAGAGGGGAGCCGAGGGGCTAAACCTGGTCTCTGAAGAACCACACCCCCTCCCTGTCTGTCTACAGACCCCCGAAGGCATTCCCGTCAAGAGGGACACCCTGTCTTCTCAAAACCACTTTGGCATCTTGCCCTTGTCTTGGAATATCCCGGAGCTGGTCAAGTATGTCAGGCCTTCCAGGAGAGGGTTTGGGGTTCCTTTATGCCAGAAGAAGGAGTGGGGGGCTGCCAGGTCTGACCAGATCACTCACCTGCCTTCCCCACAGCATGGGGCAGTGGAAGATACGAGCCCACTATGAAGATTCCCCAGAGCAGGTCTTCTCCACTGAGTTTGAGGTGAAAGAATATGGTAAGAGAAGGAGGGAGCCAGGGGGTGGGGCCCATAATGCTGGGCCTCGCACCAGCCCCTCACCCGTGCCATCTCTCCCCGCAGTGCTGCCCAGTTTCGAAGTCCAAGTGGAACCTGCAGAGAAATTCTACTACATTGATGACCCAAAGGGCCTGGAGGTCACCATTACAGCCAGGTGAGGGGTTAGGTGGGGACCAGGTGAGGGGCCAAGTGAGGGGTCAGGTGGGGACCAGGTGAGGGGCCAAGTGAGAGGTTAGGTGGGGACCAGGTGAGGGGCCAAGTGAGGGGTCAGGTGGGGACCAGGTGAGGGGCCAAGTGAGGGGTCAGGTGGGGACCAGGTGAGGGGCCAAGTGAGGGGTCAGGTGGGGACCAGGTGAGGGGCCAAGTGAGGGGTCAGGTGGGGACCAGGTGAGGGGCCAAGTGAGGGGTCAGGTGGGGACCAGGTGAGGGGCTAAATGAGGGGTTAGGTGGGGACCAGGTGAGGGGCTGGGTGAGGGCCAGGTAAAGAGCTAGGCGAAAGCTAGGTGAGGGTGAGGTGGGAGGCTGGGGATCCTGGGTCCTCACCATGAGCAGGGGAAGTTTGGGGGAGGCTCCGCCTTCTAAAAGGGGAGAGCCTGAGACCCTCCTTGCTGCGCAGGTTCCTATACGGGAAGAATGTGGAAGGAACAGCGTTCGTCATCTTCGGGGTCCAGGATGGTGACCAGAGGATTTCACTTGCCCAGTCGCTCACCCGTGCTGTGGTACCTGCCAGAGGCCCCTCTGAGCATCCTCCACTCTGAACCCTCCCCTCCCCTCTCTGAATCCCTCCCCC